TGCCAGGCAGCGGAGGTGGCCAATCACAGATCCTGCGACTGGTGCACAGTGGAGGCAGAGGTGCTGATGAGGTCTTGAGGAAGGCTCTTGCGTGCTTCCTGCATCCGTCGCCGTGCCCTCTGGAAAGCCTCTACAACACAGCAGGTGACAGAAAGCCAGAATGCATCAGACAGTCTCAGGGAAGGGGAAGGATGAGTCTGTCCAGTGAACACCGTCTCTCCTGGAGCAGGAGTCTCACTTCCTAAGTCCCACCAACAAAGCTCCTGGTCCTTGCTGCTCTCTTCACTTATTTCTAGCCCTGTCTTTGCACTGTGCATAATGGCAGCAGAAACAGAGCCTATGTATCAGTGCCATGAGCTATGCTCAGTGTCAGGCAGGACTGAGCAGCTTTACCTTCAGAGTTGTTATCCCTCCTGTCTGCTGAGAGCTAATGCTTCCTGAAGTTTCCAGCTCAGATCAGATCATTTAACCTCTGCTACGGACTCAGAGAGCTCACAGGGGAGGCAATTATCCCCACAGTAATGGTTTCTCCTGAAATATCCTGCCCATTCTGTAAAAAGGGGGCAAAAGTGAGCCAAAGCCTCACCAGGGAGAATGACACTGACAGCCCTACCCAAAACACTGTAGACTGAGCTCTGCTGGCTGAAGCCTCCAAGCCGGTCCAACACACTCTGCATGCGCTGCCTCAGGGCACTGGTTTCCAGAAAGGCTCTGCACAGGACAGTAGGAGGTCAGGGCTACCAAAACACAACATGAGATGGAGCTTGTACTCACTTTGCTGCACTTACTTAGATTGCTGCAGGCAGTAGAGCCGGAACATGACGCTCCCTGTTGTCTCTGTGCGAAAACCAAAGCGGCTCAGACGCTCTCCCTGCAAAGATAGCTTGAGTTAGAGTAACCACTGACCCTAGCCAAAATGAGCAAGCCCCACCAGGAGCACACACTCCTGCGGGCACAGTCTCTCCCTTCCCCACTGCATACAGAAAACGAGGTCAGAAAGAAGGGCCGACGGTTCCAGGCTGTGCTGAGGGCAGGACCTAAACACTAGCAAGCTGATAGTGCGGTATTGGAGGAAGGTTTCAACAACTGCATCAGAGCTCGTTCTCACACAAAGCTGCTACTAAGACCAACTTGCTCATTACAGCAGCAAACACCTCTGCAGCTTTCCTAAGAATGTGAAATTTCTGCCTGTCTCACACCCATCAGCTTCTTGCTTCAGGAAACTTTCAGGCACAGTACAGCCTGGAAGAGTACAGGCACTTTCTGGAGAGGACCAGCACAGGGAGAGGTAAGTCAAGGCTTTGGTCCACGTTCACCCACTTCTCTAAGCTGCATACACCTCAGAAAGCAGCGAGCTCTGCCTCAGCATTTGCCTGTTCCACTGTCCATGACCACGCGTCTCATAGAGGAGACATTTCTTTCGTCAGAGGGACAGGACCACCGGCTCATCCTTGTTTAAATCTGGTCCAGGTTGTCTATAGGCTTCTGAAGTTCAGAGCATAATCGACCGTCTCCCAGCAAGAGCAATGCCCTGCAGTTGAGCCCACCTTGAAGGTTGATGGTATCCTGGCGTAGGTTATGTCCTCCAGCTCAGGAGATCCACCAATGAAAAACCTCCTCAGCTCAGCGACTGTCCCCAGCTCCACAGGTCGCCAGGTCGGGATGGTGAGCATGTGGAGACCTGACCCAGGATAACAGGACAACTTAGCAGCTATGACCAACAAAGGACAGCGTGGTAGATGGATACCTGCTGACCCAAACCACAGCAGCCTTGAAATGGAAACCCCGCACAGTATCTTGGTAACATTTTCCCAATGACTCAGGCCCGTACAGTCACACAGACAGCGTCAAAAGTACTCCCTGCCCATGGGGAGCATCTCCTTACTACACGTGGGTGTCAGAATAGTTGTGAGCCTCAGATTCCATGTGGGAAAGAGAGGGCTACTGCTACTGTAAAGATGGATGTGCAGCATCATCCCAGAGCTCTGTCACATAAGATTTTGTGATGGAACCACCAAAGGAGCAAAGACAGCAACACAAGATTCTTCTCAACAAGGCAGAACAGTGCAGAATGCATCAAATCCTTCTTTGCTGCCTGCACATAGCTAACACTTCAGCATGCAAAGGCAAAGCCTCCCCAGGACCAGCTGAATCCATTCCCAAGAGAACCACCCAACTCATTCTCCCAGACAATTAACATAATGTCCAAAGTAAGTTTTACCTGGAGACGTTGGCAGCACCAAAGAACCATATCCTTCAACGCGATACCTCTGCCAGAAATCCAGGGACAGGACCTCAAAATAGAGAACAGGCCACTGCGGGAGACTATCTGCAAGGAAGTGGAGCGGATCACAGCTTTGAGAGGGAGACTATCACAGAACAAAATGAGCTAAACGTCCAGCTCCACTAGTAGGAAGTCCTTTCTGTATTTCTTCTACAATGACTAACCGAGATGTATGGGTGATCAGTTGCCCCTGTAAAAGCTGAACCCTCAAATTTCACGATGAAAACAGAATTATTGATAAGATGTTAAAAATTTGGGAAAATTCTTTCAGAGCAAGTCCAAACTGGTTCCTCAATTATCTTTGAGCAGACAAGACAATCTTCTGTGAATGATCCGATGCCAGACAAGGGAATCTTTTTATCTCTGACCTTCCCACCATTATTGGGGGTTTATTAACTTGGGTTCTTGTACAAGTCTCCAAGCATTTCTTTTTGCCATGGTGAAACAAACTCATCGTGTTTATTCTAGGCTGAAAATTCATTAGTGTTGGTTGAACACTCAAATCCAATATATGTCTGATTCAAGTGGCAAGGCACGCCACAAAGCTGCCCCTACCAATCCCAAGAGCAGTGGGGTTGCTGAGGAAGCAGCAGTAGCGTAATGAAGCAGCAGGCATAGGCAACAGAGAAGCCCGCTTAGAACAGAGCTGGAAATTTCAAAGTGACATAAACTATGCAAAGATTATACAGGTCACTGAGTGTGTCTACAAACATAAGACTCAGCACAGAGTTGTAGTTGTGTACAAAAAAGCTGCTTGTTTCTTCTGCTGCAGATTCCCAGGGCACTATGCAGTACACCAGGCATGGCAACACAGACCATCGTGCCAGGCATTTTGAGAGGCAAGCTGAGATCCAAGTAGTTTTGCAACTGGATAAAGCTGACTATAGCTTGGAAGCAGGGCAACATCAATTAATCCATACAAATGCTAACGCATTGCTGGGCAGGGTAAATAGAATTCCAGAGGTTGTGCGGTGACAGGGTGAACATTTGCTGAATGAGCAACATTTCCCTTTATTTAAATCTGTCCTTTTATCTTGGAGAGGGGCCAACAACATACCAGATAGCATGATGCCTACACTGTGATCAAAAGATTTCAGTTTCACATTTCAGAGCAACAAGGAAATATACCTTCCGATTCGTCTCCTTGGGTGAAAAACATCTCCAAAGTGAAGGGGTAGCAGAAGTATGCCACGTTATCCTAGAAAAGGAACAGGACAGGGATCAGAGAAGATCATTCATCACGAGCATTGCAAGGGGCACAGAGTGCCAGGGAAAAAAGAACTAATGGTGGAAAAAAGGTAACAATGCCCAAACAAGATCAATCGCATCACACTAACAAACACCTGACTGCATGATGGACCTGTACAGGCTCCCAAGTGCCAGGCTGATGGAACAGGCTGTTAAAAATAATGAAAAAGGGAAAAAGAGTAACACACCTCAAATGACAACTCAGCCAGTTGCATAACTACTACACCACCAGTCTTTACAGGAGCCAAGAAAAATATCTTAGACAATGGTATTACTGAAATGTTGTATGATAATTACTTTTGTAATATGCAAACTAGCTCACATAAAAGACATTAAAAAGTTGATAAAATTCAAAGTTTGTAAGAGCAGAGCTGGAGACAGCAATGGAACCAACTTCCCAGAGAGAAGGAGGGTTCATTTTTAGAAATCAGTTTGAGGACTGTGTGCATTCCTGACCCAGGCAAGCCAGAACAATACTTTGTTAACTCTGAGCATTTGAGAACACAAAAATCAAAGCTCCAAAGGCAATCAATCAGCCAGAAGAAAAAAGTGAGGTTCCAAAACCTGCTTTGAAGCAGTTTTATTTGGTCTAGTTTTATTTGGACACAGTGACACACTGAAAAATGACAAGTATAACTAGAATAAGGAGAAGCCCAAACATGCCTTGCCCTTGAAAGGAGCACTCAAGTCAGGACCTTTGCTGAATATATCTGTAGCTTGTTACACATGTTCCACTTCAGAGAATGCCTGTTCAAACTGTTCTACAGGTCTGAAAGCATCCTTACCCAGTCCACTGTCTTGGTGACACAGGTTTGTGTCACTCCTGATAGCTGCTGGAACGCAGGGCTTGACCAGTCTGGGAGAAGAGGAGAACATGAGCACAGTGGTGAATGCTCGTGGTAAGAGGGAGGACTCACAAAGCAGAGCAGTTAAAAAGAGAATGTCAGTGGCAAATAACTGGGATAACAGGTAACATCACCCACACTGAATGTACCATGGCGTGTCCTACCCCGTTGTGTTCCAGGCAATGGCCGCTCCCTAGAACGCCCTGAACTGTCAATGAAAAGCACTAAGTCCATCTTAAAAGAAAAGCAGAGCCTTATCTAAAGATCCTAAGTAGCAAAAGTGGTACCACTTTGGACAAACTCCAGGGTAACACCAGAGAGGGGAGACAGAGCCATAGCTTCAGGGGAATTAAACATGCAGCAGGATGTGCTGGGAACCTTATTTATCAGTCAAAATTTGATATGTTAGTGTTAGTACAAAGCATGACAACATGATGGTGAGCACTGAAATCGGACAAGGTCACTGCTGAGATGGAGAAGACAAGGAGACTATTCTCCACAGTATAAGGAATGAACTCTGGGTAGACTGCTGGACACCATTCCCACTGGCTGAGAAGCCAATGGACTTCTCTGTCCCAGCCTGAATTGGAAGAGACCAGAGAAGAAGATGCTACTTTCACCCAGACATGAGTTTAGTTCGAACAACTGAGTTTGAACAATTTTAGCTCTGAAGACCTCTTACTAAATCCCAGCCCAGACATTACCTTTCACTGACTTTCAGCACAGCTGATCTGATGGACCAGACAAAGCATGCTTCATTCCTGAAACTGCTGTGAGTACTTACGGTTAGGCAGCTCCAGGAAGAAATGAACATAGAGGTTGTCATACTCATAGCCTTGAGCTGAAACTGAGAAGAGAGAATGAACTTCAGCTGCTTGCTTCCACACAAACTCCTCCAGTACTCACTGTAGACTTTTGGGAGAGCCAGCACCAACAACCTCAGGGACAACCAGTTACTGCTGGAAGCTGGGAAAAGCCAGGGTCTTCAAAGTAACAGAATATGACCCCCACAGAAGATTCCTTCTCTAGACTAGCCCCGTTCCCATATCACTACCCAGATTAGGGAGGTCACACGTGTAATTGCTTTCTTTGGTTTAATCTCTATTAATTTCTGAATCTGATATCCTTTTCTCACATCTGTTTTGTCTTCCTAGAACAGCTGCAGTATTTGTAACCTCCAATCTGTAAATGCCACTCCAGGGGTTAGTCTGCAAAAAGAGGAGAGGACAAGGAGGAAGTAAAGGATTCTAGGGAGAGAATCACCTACTCTGGACCTGTCTGCGATCCAAGAATCCTTGGAACCTCCATAGCCTCAGCCATCCCAGCAGACACAGATTTGCCCCTAGTTACTGTTGATAAGAACCCACCTATTTCTCCATTCACAAAAAGCCGCAGTGTGCCAGGAAGAGTCTGAAAGAATGAGCAGATAAACAAGATCAAGAGTTCAATGAGCACTGGTGAAACCAGTGGAAAACAACTCCTCCCAACAGGGCTCACACAGATATTTCACAGATATGTTTGTACATGAACGATTCACTCTACTAGCCAGGTAGGATCATGACTTTTCATACCACTTTCCAGAAGTGAACAGTCCCTCTAGAGAGAGGCTCCCTAGAGAGACCAAATTCCTAGACCACAGGAGCTTATTATTCTGTAAATTGATCTCCTATGGACTTCAAGATGGATATAAAATATAGTGAGAAGTCACTTGCAGAAATCATAGTCCTGTTTCTGTGTTCCTGCACTTGCCCAAGGTGGGGGGAGCAGGGGTAAGCATAAAACGAGCCGAGACACTCTATCAAAGTACAAGAACACACAACAACTTTCACACTTTGGCAAACAAGATTTGAGCAAAAAAGATTGCGGTCTGGATAATTCAGTGAGAATGGAAACTGTGCAGGAGGCCGTTTACTTTAACAAAGCAGCACATAAATGTGTTTGACATTCGAGAAGTTAACAGCAACCACTACCCCGAAAGATATAAACCCTCCTTTCTTTTTAAACTATTATAGGCAAAGGCCTCGCAGAGACTGCTGGTCCGACACATGCAGGGTGGATCTCTGCAGGCCCCGTATCTGTTACAACCCGTCCCTTTTGACCCAATTTTCTGTTGGAAGCCACAAGGTAAAAGCTGCCAATACATCCCCAGAATGAAAGAGTCTTTGGAGACCATGGTACAAATGGCAGCCATGCTAACCAGGTCAACAGTCTCCAAAGGCAGCAGGGCTCCAGGTCCCTGCCAAGTGAGCAGGTACTCACCATTTCAAATTCAGAGCCTATGAGACCACTGAGGTATTCCTTGTGCCGACCATACAGCTGAAAACACAGAACAAACAGAAAAAGTGTCTTTTTGATTATGTTTTTACTTATTGCAAAAACTGTAATGGATATAACTTAAAGCCAGTTTAAATTGTTGACGGGCTTAGCACACAGGGTTTATTTTAATTGTTACAGCAGATATAGAGAACGTAAGAATCTAATAGAACAAAGGTGAGTAACTAACTGCTAACACTGCATGGATCTTCAGCTTCAGAGAAGACCTTGTCAAAAGCCAGTCTAAGGGAAAAAGTAGCTTTGAAGAATCAGATCTTAAATTACACGTTAAAAACACAGGCATAAACTATTCCAATGAAATCAACAGATCAGTGTAGCGAAATCATTATTTCCTTATTGACCACAAAGCCAATAAGGAAATGTACAAATGCAAAACTAAACCATTAAGAACCTTTATAAACTGCCACAGCCAAAAAGGCAATTTGGAAAGATCAAGACATAAAATGAGATCCAAATATCCTGGGACATTATTGGTAACAAGAAATCTTTTGATAAGTACACAGGCAGCAAGAGGAAGACCAAGGAAAGGGTTTGCCCACTGTTTGAAAGGGAAAGAAAACAAACGGCAGGTGACACTAGAAAGGGACAAATTTAGGTGGTTCCTTGCATCAGTTCTCACTACCCAGGCCCCTGCAGTCAGAGGCCAACACACCTATCACTGGACAAGGCCTCTACCTAGAGTGAGGAATTAAGTGGTCAGGGAGTGTTTGTGGGAGATCTTAAATTGCTGGGCATGATGAGACTCACTGCCAGTGATATTCATTTTGTCAACTTGAGGCATCTACAGCGCTAACAATTACATCTACGTGAGGGTCTGAGCTCCCTTTGTCAGTTCAGAACTAGTCAATAGGATCAGTGGAGGCTGGTCCTTACGTCTCTGAACACACGCTGCTCGCGTTCCTCCTCCTCTGGCTGCACTTGGACAGACGCATTCTCAATGGTGTACTTCCACACCTCTCGCTTCTCTCCATCCAGCTCGATCCTGCAGAGCCCCGAAAAACATCAGCAAAACTCCCCCATTACACAGAGAACAGGCACAGGCAACAGCAGCATCAACTGTGCCACCCTGACCCAGCATTCCCCCCTCCACCAGGCCCGTGCAGTAACACAGGGGCACACGCTAATGGCCCTCTCCTCGCTCCCAAGTGCCTGCCTGCATCAATGACTTAAAAAAGGAGACTTGCTTGTGTCCCACATGTGCACAGCCTGTATCCCTAGGGACTGGCACACATCACACCAAGCACAAGTATACAATAATCTCATTTTAGAAATCTCTGGAATAAAACTAAAAAATATCCCTCAATTTAAGTGTCAATCCACTGCCTGAGGGATGACTGGGAAACAGCCATTTCCATCATTTGCATCAACCCATGAGAAGCACCAGCTCTGTCCTCTCACCGGTAGCCTCCTTTGGTGCCAGTAAAGTCAGGCTTCACTGTGATCACCCCATTGCCATCCACCTTGATTGTGCAAAGAACATGTTCATACTCCCTGTGACCGAGCCTAATGGAAGACACCAAGAAAGACAGTCTAAATAGAGAACATGGACACCCTCTTGCTCTGGAACAGCAGAGTTGATAAAAGCACGTGTGGGTACAGAAGGGAACAAACACATCCATACTTTCCTACATTAGTTTAAGAAGCCTTTTGGAAAGACACACTCAGTTACCTCCCAACTGAGGAAAGAGGCAGAAAGAAATAGCAGCCTGAGTTACTGAGCTCTTGGAATTCTCTCCCCTTAACTAATGAAAGAAACAGGAGATTTGAGTAAGGAGGGAAGATGGGTTTCCTTCTGGGAAATTCAGATCACTTCAGGATTTTACTTACTTCCCATAAGGTCCCAAGTCTCCCATGATGTACATGGTCTGGACAGGAGTATTAATCACATGGTTGTTCTTTATAAATTCTTCTGAGGGTTCCCAGGTGATGATTTTTGACTTCAGAGAACTTGCTTCTCTGTCAACAACAGAACAGCACAGGTCACAGCTCACCTCAGCAGCCTGGCACAGGCAGCACTGAACCCTCCATGATGAGGAGTCAAACTGACGAATTCCAAGTGCAGCACAGCTCAAGTCACCAACTTCTGCAGACCAGGCTGCTCCGCAGCTGGGCACCAGCACCAGAAAACCTGCATCAGTGAGCTCCGAGCTGCAGTTTGCACTCACATCGGCCTACGGTCTTGTCTTCTCCTCCTCACATTGGCCATCCTCTCCGCCAGATACGATGGCACCTCATGATCTGAGTCAGTTACCTTCTGACAGTGCTGGAAGAGAGAAACAGACATGAACCAGCTTTATTACAGGACATCTTTCTAAACACTGTTCCACTCCTGGGGGAGAGAACAGGCATGTACACACCCACATGCAAGGATGAATCACAGAATGGTTTGGGTTGGAAAGGACCTTAAAGACCATCCAGTTCCACCCCCCTGCTGTGCACAGGGTTGCCAGCCACTAGATCAGGCTGCCCAGGGCCCCATCCAACCCGGCCTTGAACGCCTCCAGGGATGGGGCATCCACAGCTTCTCTGGGCAACCTGGGCCAGTGCCTCACCGCCCTCTGGGTGAAAAAGTTCCTCCTCATATCCAACCTAAATCTCCCCTCTCTTAGTTTAAAACCATTTCCCCTTGTCCCATCACACCTGCCCATGGCAAAAGTCGCTCTCCCTCCTGTTTCTAAGCTCCCTTCAAGTACTGGAAGGCCACAATGAGGTCTCCCTTGGAGCCTTCTCTTCTCCAAGCTAAACAAGACCGGCTCCCTCAACCTTTCTTCACAAACTGCTAAAAGACTGTAGATTTCATTTGCTATTCTTCTGGCAAACTACAGCTAAACTCCACCCAGCAAGTTACCTACACAGCAATGCTACAAAGTCCCCTCCAAGCTGCCCCAATCGTCGCTCTGAAACAGGGAGGTCTCATCCCAGAGCTGGGGCAGCAGGTGAAGCTGCTTTGCAGAAGCACTATGCCTCCTGCATACAGAATATGTGGCTCGCTTCTGCATGGGCAAGGGCTGACAGATATTCCCTCTGCAGTGGGCCCGGCAGTTTTGACAGCCACTGCTGTACAGATTATGTGTCACTAAGAGCTGGTACCTCCTCTAGGTTGGTGAATCGGTCATGATCAGTGTAGGTGAAGATGCGATGGTTCTTCCGACCTCCAGCCTTCTCCAGTTTCAGGATCTCCTCATAGTACTGCCGGTCCAGGGGAGTCTGGCAGGCTGACTGGTTTCGGTACAGATCCACCTCAAACTGAGAGCACCACAGGTCAAGTGCAAAAGCTGCCTTTGCCACAAACACTTTCCAGCTGAGATTTCCAAAGCCACGACAGAGACAAGATCCTCTGGGACTCCAGGCAAACAACCCGAGCTCCGGAGCGGCTTC